CCTATCCCCTGTGTGCCTTGATGACAAGAATGAATGCCTAAAATTTCAAATGATTTTGATTTGTAAAAAAAAAATGAAAATTCGCATACAAAATGAGGTTGTAACTGTCAGATCGGTCCAGATTGAATATGGGCCGTTGGCTAACACTGTAGGTGTCAGCCCGTAGGCTGACATGATCCATACAAGTGCTTTTTTTAGAGAACAATTGTGAGACCAACTTGGCTTTTATAGGGTCGAATGTTGCGTAATAAAAAAATAACATATCCATAAAATGCGTATAGTTGAGATGGATGAGCGGCAAGACAAGAATGGATAAAATTCGAAATGAATAAATTCAAAAAAACTTAGGTGTAGCTCCAATAAGCGATAAGATAAAAGAAAAAGACAGATTTAGCCCTTGTTAGGAGGTCGGATTTGGTTCAAGTGGAAGGCTAAAAAAAGACAACGTGTAGGTTAAAAATGATATAGTTGGAAGTAGTGATAAAAAATATATTGACTTATGGTCTTACTGAGTGAATGATTATTGATAGAGCAGAGTGGCAGACCAGGATTCATACAGAGGATCTCAAATAATTGATAAAAGGCTATGATGATGATGATGATGATTATGAGTGGATAATGGTTACAACCAGTGATATAAAAAATAGATCGATGACCTGGATCAAGAATTGCAAAAACTTATCCGAATTGGTGAATTGGTGTTCGGGACCGTCGTTTTACTTTTTAGAAAAAATAGTGAACTAGCAAAAAAACCATACAAAAATAATGAATTGATAAAAAACCGATTCGGATAAGTGAATCGGCATTTTTTACTGTAGCAAATCGCCCTTACTCTTCTAGATCCACACAATTTCATATATATTAATAGGATCGGATCGGCATGAGGTGACCGTTTCTTCGGTTGAGCCCGGCATTTTTAAATCACTGTTTACAACGAGCTTTTTTCTTTTTTTTTCTTTTTTTTTTTTCAGGAATCTAATAACCAGTTTCTCTCAACTTTAAAACTCAATCTCTCCTGTCTATCCAATAGTTCCAATATCGTCTCACTACCAGCAAATCTCTCTCTCTCTCTCCTCACTTTTCACCACAAAATCTCTCTCTCTCAAATTTTATATTTATTATATAAGTTTGAATGGACCATTTTGTACTTTAAGCCTCTCGTTCCTTATCCATTATCTCCCGTGCCTTTTCCCACCTCACTCGATCATTTCCCTCCAAATTTTCATGGCTCTGAAACTGATAGCCACCCCATGGGTTTCTTCTCCCTTCCAAACCCTTACTCTCTCCTCCAAAAGCCCAACAATTTCTTCAAACACTAGAACCCTTCTCATCCTTCTCCTAAGCCGATGCATCTCTGCAACTTCCCCTCTCAAACCCACCTTAAAAAGCTTCAATGCCAGAGCTTCTTTGAATGGGGAAATGGAGGCCCAAGAACCCATTTCAAGGGCTTCTCTCTCTACTGAAAATGAACCTAGTTTCCTCGACGAGGACTTGTTAAGAAGGGCTTCCGTAGCGAGAGATGCTCGTGAAGTTTTGAGTATGATTTCAGAAAAATACCCCAATGAAGGAGGTGTCATAGGAGCTTCTGATTGTTCGCGTATTATAGGAATGGCTCTCAAGCAAAGCAACACAGAGTTAGCGTTTTCTGTTTTCTCAGCAATGAGAGGGAACTTCACTAAGAAGAAATTGGGTGAAGTAAATGAAGGTGGGTTTTGATTTTGATGCTCAGTTTTCATGGTTCCATCCTTATTCTAGATAATTGTGTACAAATAAATTTATTTTTTAGGCTTTTTGTGGGAGGAAACTTCACTGAGAATCCATCTGGCAAAGAACATGACCGTGGGTTCTCTTTTTGATGCTTGGTTTCTATATTAGTTTTATCATTTTCTCCTAAGAATTCTGTCTTTTGAGCTATAATTTGATTTCATTTTGGACCTCTATTATTTCCTATTATGTAGGTGATTACTGCATATGTTTATTTCTCAGGGAGTTCTGCTCTTGATTTCTCTGATTTTCAGCTCTCCAGTTTTGTTCTCTATTTTTAGAGTCTTGTGAACTTGTAAACTCTTGATTTTTCAAAATTCAGACTGTTCTCTCTTATATAGTTTTCGCTGTAAGTCTTGAATTGAGAAATTGATCAGTCGATCATTAATGACCTGCTAGATACTTTTGAGATTATAGATTATAAAGTGAATTGGTGTGTACATGATAGGGTATTGGGTTCTCTTATAAGTGATGGAAGTGAGTATGTTCATTTTCCATGAATATTGTTGTGAAAATATCTGCATTTTTCATTCTCAAAACTTGCCTCCCAATTTCCTTGTGTTGTTTCGGATTATTCTCTTACAAGCATATCTTTTAGTTATTTTTCACTTGAGTTTCCAATTATGGGGTGAATTTTTCTATGGATTGAGAAGAGCTTATAAAGTTTGGGTTTTTATTTATAGATGAGAAGGAATTGGGTTCTTCTGTGGAATGTTGGAAGTGGGCTCCACCAGATGTGAACACATATGCGACTCTTGTTCGAGGACTTGCTGCTTCCTTATGCGTTTCAGATGCCATTCGAACTATTACTGATGTCTCTCGGGCTGGGCTTCCTTATCGTGAGGAGGTGTGAATTTGTATTCTGAGTTCTTTTTTGCGGGAGAATGTATAGTATGGCAAACGATGAACTGTTGGTGTATGTTTGTATATATCATACAGTGCTGGTGATGTATGGTACACTACGGGCGTCGACTTTCCATTATGGGTTCAGTCATTGCAACCATTTTCCATTCATTCTAATTTATATGCATGTTCTTGTAATGCACATCTTTCATTGCTTAAAATGATATTCATGGCCTTGACTTATTGAATTGTCAACCTTATTTAAATTTATAAAAACCTGAAATTATTTCGTTATTGTTTGGAGAATTGTATGATGGCCACAATTAAGTGCCAACATATGGATTTGAATCTACTCTCACTTTAGTTCTACTTCTTGAAGCTTTTTGATATACTCAAGTTAAGAAGCTGAAGGTTAATGTTCTCTATTGATTGCTTAGGAAGCATTATCATGTCTACGTCACATCTAATCCCATTCGTTTTGCCATCAATTCTTGTTTGAAATATATGCGTTATTGTCCAATTGAAGATGAAATTTTGATTTAAATGTTTAAATTAATAATTATGATAATAGTTTCTTTAAATGTTATTTAGGTACATTTTGGGGTGATTGTTAGATTTCCAACTTGCATGATAGCCATAATATACTCTCTATAGTCTAATTAAAAGACGGCATTCGGTATAAATGTTTAAAAAAATACTTGTAGTCATTGTTCTCAAAATATTATGCAGGTTCATTTTGGGCAGATTGTTAAATGTCCAACTTGCACAATCGCCATAGCTGTCGCACAGCCTCAACATGGCATTCAAGTATGTATTTAACTTCATTTCATATTATCATTGGAAAGATCTTCTATTGATCTTACTCTCTTTGATTACCATGCATGCTGAACAATTTTCTTTTGATAGATTACGCTGAACTCTTTTAACTTGCCACAAATATGACCAAATTCTTGATATGATTTGTTACTTTCTATCTTTGGCATTTTATTATACATGTATCTTGAAAAGTGGATGCCTTTCTGCTTGTTATATTTTAAAATAAAAAATCATGTGTCAGTATATGTCATCCTCTTTTATTTTAATTAATAAAAAAGAAAATAATAAGTGCTCAGAAATAGGTGTATGTCAATTTGCATCAATGACGCTGCCAAGGGGAAACAGACTGCAATCAAAACATCAGATCTCATGGGTGTGAAGGACTGTCTCTAATGGATGAGGGCTCTCTTGGCTCGCACTTATGCTGGGGAGTTTTCCTCTCATTTGCCTTCCTGACCACATCAGAGAAAGGTTTTGGTTCCCCATATGCTAATATGGAATCTTTTCTAATGTTGTTAACTAGTCCTCATAAAAGTATGATGCCTCTAATCATGCTCACCCTCTATCACTTAGCAACATACAATGGACTGGAAACTTCTAATAGCTTGCATTGAAGGTCACAATTCTCTTGATCTGAAAGATATATTCATGTCACTTGTGTGGACAGGACTTGCATGTGGTGTGATGTGGAAAAAAAGCAAACTAAGATTTCAACTGCTTAGATACATTGACAAAAATGCTTGATGGCGTAATGAAATGGATATATTCTCCCCTCATATGACTTGTTGCCTATATGTTGATAAATAACTACATAGATCAATGGAAGTTGATCATTATTCTCTTATGACGCAATATATCCTCTGCATACAATTTGGCAAATCAATACTTAACTCCTATAAGATGTATAGAGACCATGAGCATTGTCCCATTGCACACCACAACAAGGTAAAATAAATCTCAGGAACTAAGATCACTCATAATATATAACCACACAAACTAAGAGAAGGTTGTCCATTCCCATTGAATGAAATCACAGTGGAGGAAATATGCTTGATAAAAAAAAGTTTGGGAACCCAAGGCCACATGCTGCAGTTAATTCTTACCAAGAACTTCACTTCTCAAGACAAATATCAATACAGGACTTTTTAGTTATTCACTGAAATCGATGTACACCAGATGCCTCCAGTGGAGCTTTCAGCTAAAGATTGGTAAAAGCAGCTATAGGACCAATATCCTTCTATTCCCTCCCCTTAATGGCATATAGATTGTACCAATCCCTTGACAACCAAAAGCTTTCATTATAAAAATACCTTGACAGTGATGCTTCAAAGTTTCTGTGTAGCATTGTGCAACCAAATTTACATGGTCCGGCATCAACACTGTATCATGACTTCTTTGAACCACATCGCTAAGAATGTGGAATAATTTATCTTTCTGATTGATTCTATTCAATATCTTTTTGATTGATTCTATCTATTTTTATTCATTGAAGAACTTGGTGCTACTCATTTCGCGCACGGTAATTTGCTTTATCTAGTTAATACAATCCTAGTTTTCTGTCATGTTCAGGTCACTCTACAACAATTGAACCTATCAGTTTACAAATTAACTCAACATATATGCTGAGTATTTTCATTCTTGATTCTTGTGTCTCATTTTGTTTGTATGTGCTTGAATGATGTGCACTTGCATGCTTTCACATGATTGAAAAAACACATTTTCAATTTATTGAGACTAATCCGGACCGGTTTTGGTTGGTGCAGACCAGTTTTTTACTGGTTATTGTCAGTTTTATTTTTTTTATATTTTTAAAATATATTTTTTGACATTGGTCTGACTGGTGAACCATCTGGCCCGACCGGACTGGTGCCCTCCCCTGTTTGATGACCGGTCCAGTCCTGAAAATATTGCAGCATTTACTACTCATAATATTCATTTCTATGACAATGTAACATGGTAACTTTGTTGTTGGTTTGTCTGCAATGCTAACCTTTTATCTGCTAGCGATGTTGTAGTGTGGTAAACCAGTTTGCCTTCTTCTAATTATCATGAGCTCCTCTTGCAGATTGCTTCATGTTCAAAATGTCGCTACCAATACGACCTTGTATCTGGCCATATCGTTAGCATTGATTCTGAAGCAATTAGGTAATTTATGCATTGCTTTTATGGTGGATTCCTTTTAACTTATGCATGTTTGTAGTTGATTAAAAACATCTGAGTTCCCCAAAAAGTTTTGTGTTTTTTCTTTTCTTTCAGTAGGTGACTTAAGCATTTCCTTATGGCTTTGGGAAGAAGATGTTTGAAAAATTTTATCGTCGTTTGACAGGTTTTTTTTTTTTTTGTTTCCCCGCTTCTGTCTATTCGATTTCAAATTTTAGAAATATACAGGGATTTTGTGCAGAATTTTTTCGTGAATTTATTTACCTAATATAAACAATATCTCTGAGTATTGGATGTCTCTACTTATGAATTTGAATTGTGTAATTTTTCAAGTACCACACCAAACAAAGTTGACTTCAGTGCTTTGGAGTTCTAGCTGTGAATACATGTTGTTATGATGATTTTTTCTTCTTTCCTTTGGAAATCAATTGATTTGTAATATAAGCCTCTTATCTTTGGGCATTTGCAAATGCAAATGGCATAATAATTCTAAGATATTTATTGCAGCTCAATCACATTTTGACTTATCCATGCATCTAACGATAATTCTGTTATCATCTTATTATTGTTCTTGTTTTGGTTTCTCTTGCCATGGAAATTTATTTGAGGGTAGTGGAAACTCCTTATCATTGGACATTTTCAAACGCAATTTGCACCATTAGATCTAGGATATTGCTTGTAGATCGTCTGTTTTCTGACTTCCGCCACTTTTCAATTTTCTGGTATGTAGATGTTTAATTATTGCCAAATTGATAAAGAGGCAGAAATTAAAAATCATCAGTGCACAATTTGATTTTTAATATACTTCAAGTCTTTGAGAATGTTTATTCACACATACTGCATCAAGAAACTTGCTGTAGTCATCGTGACCACATTGGAGTCCATTGGAGCCTCCATGGAAGCTTCATTTGCACAAAAATGTATTGGGTTTGGATTTATGGAACAGTTCCTTAGGTGCTGAATGTTTGATATCTTCTTTTCAAGATTCTCAAACTTGTTAGTTTATGCTAGCTCAGGTTGCTAGTCCTTGTGTTCGTAGAATTCCATACATAACAGCAAAAACCAAAATCAGCTCTGGTAGTTACACTAGTTATTAATAATAGAAGTACCTAAACTACTTTCCTATGATGTGTGAAGCATAACTAATAATAAGATACAATACCGTATCATATTTATTTTGACAAGTTAGTACCAGTACAAGCTTGGAGGCAGAACCTGATTATTTTCATTTAGTCCAATCTGAACTTCTTGTTTAGTTCTGATGAACTGTTAATAAACAAGCATAGGATTTCTATATATGGCTTTCTTTGTAATATATTTACTTGCATTGTTGATTGGGGCAAATTCACTTTTTCTAAGGATCTGCTCCTGCCGAACGCAGCACGGATATTTCACCATGGGATAAAGCGCTGAGGCTCCTTCAGATAATCAAGAAGAGTATTCCTGCTGCTGTTCACTCAATTGTGGTACATGTTTATAGGGATTTATTGTTTTCTTGTTGAGCAAGTGATATTATTTACTTTTTTTTTATTCAATCCTCAGAATGATCAAAGTTTCCCTGTTAATTTTAGTCTAGTTTTGCTCGACATTTTAGATCTAGGATTTCTCATGACATCCTTTATGTATTAGTCTTGTTTACTAAGAAATTCACATATTATCAAGTTGATTAAGTTTCAAACCATATTTCAACATAAAGCTTTCTTAGTTGAATTTCAACATAGGACTTTCTTAGTTGAATTTATGAGGGAATTGGACCTGGGCGATGCGTATTATCATTACAGAACGTAACAAGCTTGATTGTATGCCTTGCTTCAGAGCAAAGCTTATTAGAAAATCATTAGCAATTATTAGTGCAATGTACACGTTTTATATTATATATCAGCTGATGAATAGTCAATAACGTTGCATCGGGTACTTCCCATCTCTCTCTCTATCTGTGTGTGTGGTGGGGTGGGGGGGGGGGAGTGGATTAAGGTATTTATATTTCCGTAATAGTTAACTCCTTGCAGGTTCAAACTCCAAGTGGAATTGCTCAAACACACCGTTTTTCAACTAAAACTGTTGATCTTCCAGCCCAAGAAGGCCAGAGAGTAACAATTGCATCAGCACCTCCATCAAATATTTATAGGGAGCTAGGTCCTTTCAAGTTAAGGGCGAGAATTCCTGGGTTTGATCCTGGGGAGCCCATATCTATAACAAATCATACAAGTGGGGTTCAGTCTGAGCTATTACGAGCCCCTGCAAAAAACAAAGTCTCATCTTTGCTTGATCCCCCTATTCTGTTACTCCCTATTGCTTTACTTGCTACTGGAGATGCTGCATCTGGAATCTTGGACCCTACTCTCCCCAGAGTCATTTCGATTGCCGCTGCGTCATCTATCATCTTAGGGACTACTATAAACACTATTATTTTACCTCGGCTGAATCAGGTGTGGTATTTTTTTTATGTTTTTTTTTTTTGGGTTGGCGGTTTCTATATTCTTCTACTTGTGCCTGAATGTGAGTACAAAGGAGGGAAATTGGGATAAAATGGGGTTTCAGCACATGTTAAATAAACACAAAGTTGGGTAGACATGAGAGTGTGTTTGTGTATGTGTTTTGTACAATAGAGAGGGTGGATTACAGTGGTTTTCAAATAAACACAAGGTTTTGGATGATATGTGTACAAAAAACTGTTTAGTCCCACAACTAAGTATAACGATGATGGTGATCTGTATGTTTTGTGTGATTTGTGTGATTTCAATGCTCTGTCGTTGAGCAATATCCTATCTGTTGATACCTTATAGCCCAAAATGATTTTGGATAACATAATATGGGTGATTTTGTGTAGCAATGTGGGTTTTTTGCATAAATTATCTTAAACAAGGAAAACAATATATTAACTGGAATCTCCTCGTACCCTTTATTATACCATGTGACAAAAGTTCACAATGTAGTAACTGGAATCTCCTCTTCTGTCTTTCATCCCTATGATTACAGCTTCCTCAAAGAAGTGCGGATGCAATTGCTATAAGGCAACAATTGTTAGCTCAGCATGATATGCTTCAGACCCGCATGAAGGAGCTGAGTCAAGCTGCTGAAAGAGAGGTATTTATTCCACATATTTTTGGGAAATATCAATATCCTATCTTGTCCACTCAATGGATCTTTCGGTAATCCAGAAGCTTGAAATATCATGACAATACCTGGACCTGGTTGTTTATTTTATTTTTATTTTTATTTAAATAGCTACTTGATTCAACATCCTATGAAAACATCTGAGAAGCAAGAGCATAAAAATTACAAAATCTGGGATGTCAAAGTACTGTCCGGACATTTCTAGTTTCTAGACCACCTGCAGAGTCAAGTCAAGCAGGTGTTCCAAGTAGGGTCTTTTCATTTTCCCTTAAATTACTATAGTTTTCACACTGGTCTAGTTTTGTACTTATGTACATTGTTTCGAACAGCTTTCTGTACTTGAATACCTCCTCAAAATTTTGAGAATGTGGGTTAAATAAGTACACTAGTGAAATAAAATTCTGCATAGGCATGCTCATCTGCAGCTGGAGAGAGTTTACATACTAAAACTATGTTTATTCGAAGGTTTGGATGTTGGCTCGCATGTGCCAGTTGGAGAACAAAATCCTGGCTGTGGGAGAGCCTTCTTATCGGTATGTTATTTCTCTCTAAAGACTTTTTCCCAAAACCTATCTTCCATTTTCTGACTGATCTGTCTTTTCATTATAGTGCGAGAAGAAGTAGAATCTTGAAAGTACGCGAAAGCTTGGAGAATTCCCTCCTAACAAGAATTGGGTTAATTGATAGCTATGCTAGAGTGAGTTATTGAATGGAATCTTCATGGTGTTTGTGTATTGGAGTTTTGTGATTTATACTAATTGAATTTGCAAAACACTCTACATAATTCTCTGGTAGAAATTCTGTTCTTTGTAGTTATTATAAAGAGTAATTGAAACTTTCAATAGTTGGGAGTATGATACCATAACCCCATCTCCCCTCATAAAAAGGGAAATTTATTAAAAAATTATCAAAATGCACCTAAGTGATGAACTATTTAGCATTTTACCCAAACTTTTAATTTAATTTCAAAAAGTCCATGAAAATTGCCATAGTCATGGGTTGGAATGGTGGAAAAGGGGTAAAATGTTAAATAGTTGATAGGTGTATTTTGATAAGGGAAAGTATACAATGAGACCATTTATCTTTAGTACAAGGTAGTCACAATTAATTTTGAGCTACATTTATTCCATTGACCAAGCTCAAAGTTCAAAGAAATTTTCTCGAACTTTATGACACACCTAAGCTATCAGATTTCACATCGAATGGTTATAAGTAATTGTGACCTCCTTGTGCCAAAGTTAAATGGTCTCATTATCCCTTTTGATAAATGTTCCCCAAAAAATTAGTCAAAGAAACCTCTCCAATAACATATGAATGTCTTTTTGGTAATATTTTAGGAGCAAGGGTGTTGTATTTTATTGACAAAGAAATATTTTTATTGTTGAGACTTGATAACATTGTTTGCGCAGATATCTTCAATGATTGAGATTGAAGTTGAAATGAATTCTGATGTCCTTGCTGCTGAAGCAGTCAGCAATGCTGTATGTAATATTCTTCAAAAGATTAGAGCATGTCACTTGTTCTATCTCTCACGACTTCAGTAATTTTTTGGTTTTATGATAGTTATTGTTTAATCTCTTAATATTATGAACCATTGTTTCGATGAATGCTTAACCAAGTTGCAAAATATGTTCTTGTATGTAGGAAAATATTGCAGAACAGATAGAACACATGATGGAGTTAGAAAACCTTGAGGAGGTATCTAATGGCCACTATATATATTAATCTTAACTAGAAAAGGCAAAGGCTATTTCGTTAAATTTCATCTCAATGAATGATTTCTGAACTGCTATGTATAGTACATATATACGTACCCACATGAATATTTATTCTTATGTGCATACATAAAGGCATTTATAAAATACAAACGCATCACGCACAAATAATTATATATGCACTTTCAACACGCACATACACTCCGTAAATCCCATATGGCCCCATATGGTACCCTCAAAACGACCATCCAAATAGGATTTGTTTGAGCTGAACTTTGGGGATGATCTTAAAACCATGGTATGAATAATTTCGAAAAGAAAAAGTAAGATTTTGAGGGCAGCTAATCCTAGATCTATTAGTGCATAAAAACATACGGCTGAGGTTAACCCAATTTTCCCGCCCCAGAAGACTTATTCTTAGTTTTTTCTAAATGTTTTTTTTATGAGCATGCTTGCTGTGGTCAAGAGGATGCTTGTGCAAAATACGGGGTTCAATACACCTAACGTCATAATTTTTGAGCAGTGAACTTGTACATCATTAGTTCAGGGGCATATATTATCTCCTCCCAAACTGCAAAACCCTCTCTCTGTTCCTCTTTCTCTTTTGCTATATATATATATATGCTGTTGGAACAGTATAAGCCCAACGATGAATATTGGCTGATCTAACGAACACGACTGCATTTCGTATTTGACTTTTAATTTTTTTGTACAAATCCAAATCATATGAAATTTGGGAGTCCACTCTTCTCATCAAGGCGTACCTAATAAAAATGCTAAAAAAATTATCCACAAAAATTAAATTGACCAAAATGCCCCTAAAAGGTTCCAGTGGAATTTTGGTAAATTTACTTTTTATGAATTATTTTCTTGATATTTTTATTATATTCATCTATTTTTTAAGAATAGACAATCCAAATTTCAAATGATTTAGATTTGTATAAAAAAATAAAAATTCAAATACGAAATGCAATCGTGACCGTTGGATCGGCCTATCGGCCTAGATTCAATCTAGGCCGTTGGAGTTAATATTGCTGTCAGCTATTGGGCTGACCTCAGACTCTCCCTTATGTGTGTGTGTGTATATATATATATATATATATATATATATATATATATATATATATATAT